CCTGTTTAAGCGTAAGTACTTTAGAACCAACAGAAGTTCCAAATGCATTGGATACTGTAAAATTTAAAAAAAAGTAAAGAGTTGATTTAGGAAAATTAAGTTCAACCCTAGATTTGCTAATTAAAAAAGAAATTACCGTCATTAGCCCCCATTCCAAATCCAAGGACGAACGCAAGAACTGCCCCAACAAATAAGGCCCAAAAAGTGGCATTCTATATAATAATAATTTAATTAATTTCTTTTTTAATTACCTGAAAAGAAATTAAATCAGGGGAAATAATAATACTATCCCCTCCACCTCCACCACCTCCATTTTGAACTGAAGTAGAAATGAAAATAATGAAAATAAAAGCAAAAATTGTAGTTAAATAGGACATCTGTTACTATTGAAAATTAAATTTTTACAACTTAATTTAAAAATTTTAAGTTAACAATCTTAAGTTTATTTTATTTTTAAATTATTAATGTTTGTGTTGAAAAATTAAGTTTAAGCTTAATTAAATTAAGAATAACTTAAGTTCACAAACTTAACTTCAAGTTGCAAAAGAAGTTTAATTATAGTATGCTATCAAACTTAAATTCAAGTTTATTTATTAAACTTAAGTTCAAGCTTAAATTTAAGTTTAATTTATTAAATTCAAGTTCAAGCTTAAATTAAAGTTTAATTTTCTAAACTTAAGTTCAAACTTAAATTCAAGTTTAATTTATTAAATTTAAGTTCAAACTTAAATTCAAGTTTAATTTATTAAACTTAAGATCAAACTTAAAAATAATACTATATAATTTAAATCAATCTAAATTTAAACAGAAATAAAAACCATTTTAACTAAAATAACTATTCATTGTAATCATTTTTATTCTTTTATTCAATACACAATGAATCATACAAATGATTATTTAACATTTAAATTTATTAACTCAGCTTCTTTTTTAAATTTCCTTCCGTATTGTTAGTTCCTTTTTAATTATAGTTTGCTGAGCGCCAAAATTTTTGAGCTTCTGACTTTCATATAAAAAATTTTTGGCGCACCTTTGTTATCAAATACTGATTAACCCCTTCAAATATGCTTAAAACAAAAATTTAGCTTATCAAAATTAATAAAATAAAAAAAGAAAAGACAATGACATTCCCCCCTCCCTTCCTCCAAATAGTTTTAGTTGTCCTGGAAAATATTTAAATTGTTAAGAAATTTTGGTTACTTCTCCTGGACAAATTAAAGAATTTCTATGAAGGAGCTTAATTTTTCTAAAAATTATTTTATCAGCAAATTTTTGATTTTGTATTTTGATTAATGGTCTTAGAAACCACGGGAAGATTGAAAAACAATAGGAGAAACTAGGGCTAAAGTACACTTTACCGGGCGATTTTAGATTTTTATGATTTATATGTCATTCGAAAGAGCTCGGCGAGCTGAGTCGAACGACACCAAAATTAGCCCGCGGACTCAACTATGAACCGAGATATGGGTCCCCAAAAATCGAAAAACCATAGGGGGGACCAAGCTGTTTTCGGGGGTGAAAAATTCGAATATGCAAATTATACCTCATTCGAAAGAGCTCGTCGAGCTGAGTCGAATGACACCAAAATCAACGAAATCCGACTTGATTTGACAAAGTTATGATCTTTTATTTTAGCTCCTTACCTATGGCATCTGTGGAGATTTTTGCTGCTACGGAGGCCCCAAATACGTCCAGAGCAAGGGAGATAGGAATAGGTTTATGTTACGAGCCCAGACCCAGCGCCCGTAGACTCCCCGCGAGGCGCGTGCCGCAAAACCCCGCGCGAAGCGCGGGGTTTTGCACAAGCGCCTCGCCGACGCCCCATAGGTTTAGGTTTTTTGTTTTTCTATTGTAACTTTGTCCAAACTTTTACAATCAACCTGATTTTGGTGTCATTTGACTCATCTCGACGAGCTCTTTCGAATGAGTTTTAATTTGCATATTTGAATTTTTTACCCCCAAATAGTGCTTGATCCCCCCTATGGTTTTTCGATTTTTGGGGACCCATTTCTCGGTCCATAGTTGAGTCCGCGGGCTAATTTTGGTGTCATTCGACTCAGCTCGCCGAGCTCTTTCGATTGACATGTAAATCATAAAAATCTAAAATCGCCCGGTAAAGTGTACTTAGGCCGAAACTAGCATGCCTCTTTACAACACAAACACATTTTTTGGAAGAAATTTAAATATTAATTTTAAAAATTTTGTAAAAATAAATTTTTAAGTACATTATTGATAAAGTACAAAATTTTTACGAGTACAAGATTCACTGCTTAAACTAGAAAGAGCCTAAGTCCAAGGTGACAAAGTTATGTTCAAGATCAAGCTAGAAACCTAAATTCAATTTATAAAACTTAAATTCAAGTTGATAAACTTAAGTCATGTTTTTGGTAAGACTAAGAAAATTCAAGCTAAGTTCAAGCTATAAACTCAAGTTCAAACTTAAACAAGAAAAAAATAAACTTAAGTTCAAACTTAAACAAGAAAAAAATATATAAACTTAAGATCAAACTTAAAATAGAAAAAATATAAACTCAAGTTCAAACTTAAACAAGAAAAAAATAAACTTAAGTTCAAACTTAAACAAGAAAAAGAATAAACTTAAGATCAAACTTAAAAAACTAGAAGACTATTAAAATAAAAAATCCAATTTTAAGTTAGCAAACTTAAAAGTTTAAGTCACTTAAATTATTTTCACTAGAACTATGCCTTATTTTAATGATAATCTTTTAAATAAAATTAAAAAAAATTTAAAATTTAATTTTCTTCGACAAATATTCTTTTTAACATTTTTAATATCAAACAAAAAAAATAATATTATTTTTTTTCTTCAAAATATTTTTTTAAAATAATTTTTTTCTTCAACTTTCCATCATTTCCTCCATTAATTCCCTTCTCTTTTTCGCCTTCATTTTAACCCTCTCAATTAATTCTTCCTTTCCTTCTTCCTCCTTAATATTTTTATTAAATTTAATTTTAATATTTTCTTCTTTTGGAGGTATAAATTCTTTCAATTTTTCTTCTTTTTTTAATTTTCTTTTTTCAATTTCTTTTTCTTCTTTTTCCAAAATTTTTTTCTTTTCTTTTATTTTTTCATTCAAAAAATATTCTCCAGTCTCCATTTGTATATCTATTTTACGTGGTTGTTGTGGTGGGGGGAATGGGGTATATTCCGATTTTTTGTTCCATTTTGCTTTTTTGTTTTTCTTTGCTAAACGGACTTCTTTGGAGCTTTGATGAACCTTTAAAAAAAAATTTTTTTAATTTTAAATTAAAAAATAAAGCACCAGAAAAGGGAAATAAAGAAGAGGATATTTTGAGGAATATTCTTAGAAAAAATTTTTCAAGAAAAGAATTTAAAAAAATAAACTTGGAATATTTTTTCAACTACAAGATTTCAAATTTAAAAATAAGGCAAAAGGTAGTTAAAGAAAAGCTTTCTTTGATAAACGTCTTTTTTTGAGGAATTTTCTTAGAAATTTTTAAATTAAAAAATTTAAAATAAAATTTAAAAACAAGGCAACAGGTAAGGAGAGTAAGAGAGGATCATAAAAATTAATTTAGTTTTTATTATTTATCCCCCCCCCAATCCTATTCTTAAAAAAGAAATGTGTAAAATTTATTTAAAAGGATTTTTTGTGTACAACGATAACTCAAAAAGGGACATTAAACAATTTCTCAAAAATTTTTGCTATTTGAAAAAAAATAACAAAACAAACCTTTTTCTTAAATTTCGGCAAAAACCTGTCCCAACTTTCATTTTTCAATTTTTCATCTTTCATTAATTCTTTTTTAATCATTAAAGTTTTTATATGGTAAATTGGGTGGATATTATTCATACAATCTTGGACTATATTTCTTTAAAAAATTAATAAATTAAAATTAAATTAGAAAAAAAAACAAACCTGACCTGTTTAAGTCCAAAATGGGTGCCTATTGTGGAAACTGTTCCTCCCTAAAAATTTGAAAAAAAAATTAAAAATAGTTAAATTAAAAATAAGATATTTAAAAATGAAAAATTAAATTTAGATCAATTTTTAAAAAATTTTTATAAAAAATTTTTTGGTAATTAATAACTAAACTAAAATCGGAAAGTAATCATTACTAACAAAGAAAGGTTGCGCGGTGTCCGACCTAAAAACGGTCGAGAACGGGCTCATTCGATAGAGAATGTGTCCTTTTTAACAAGAATTTTGAGCGGTTTTTGCCCGTTTTTTGATATGGACCTCCAAAGTCCCGAAATTTGCATAATTTCCCCCTCCAAATAACCTCGCAATAAAAAAAAATTTTCAAAAATTTTATTTTTGGCTCACATCAAATTAAAGATTTTAAGAATTTAAAATATTTTAAGTGTATTTTAAAGAAAAATTTATTTAAAAATTTTAATTAAAAAACCTGTATTTGAACATAACATTCAGTTAACAATTCTATAGCTTTAAGTCAGGGCTCTCATTCGTGCTTTATTTGAAAGTATTATACTTTGAAACCGACCTCCATACTTAAGAAATTGAATTTATACTTTATTGAAAGTATATACTTTAAAATCAACATTTTGGATTGAAAATGAAATTGGGGAAGGGATTGGGCAAAAAAGTGAATTTTTTTAGCCTTGGGCCTTCGAAATTATCAAAATTTTCGCCTGCGGCGCTGAAAAAGAAAGAAATCTGGCTTCTTGGGCTCCAAATTTCAAAAAATTTTCGCCTGCGGCGCTGAAAATGGGAGAAATCTGACTACTTGGGCTCCAAATTTCAAAAAATTTTCGCCTGCGGCGCTGAAAATGGACGAAAGCTTGAGGTTAAGACTGTCAGGGCTTTATTTCTTGTATCAGCGAATTTTGACATGTCATGCGTTGAAATGCACAAAATGCCCAATGGAAGCAAGAAATTATTAGAAAAGATTCATTTAAGAGAGAAATATAAAAGATTTGAGCACGAACAAATATTTTCCAATTTAATTTTGAGTATACTTTAAATTTGGAAATTTTCTCCCTATATACTTTTTTATCAAGATTTTGATACTTTTGAGTGGCATTTTGTCGATGAGAGCCCTGCTTTAAGTGTTGCCCCATTTTGTCCAACTAACCGAGCTCTGCGTTTTACAAATCTTTCACGGTTTTGAACCATTGAGGAAATTTTAATAATGTCACAAAATATTTGGTCTTCGAGAACACGGCGAGCCTAAAATAAATGTTTTAGAAAAATTGGGATATTTTGTCACTTTAATTTTTGTGGTCTTTAAATTTGGAAAAAACAGGAACTTTTTAATTGGATATGTTAATGGACTTGTTAAATTTAAAAAATTTTAAAATTAAAAAGAAAAAAGTGATAAATTTTGTCAAAATTATAAAAAATATTATTTAATTTTATTATTATTTCGTCTAACGATTTTTTCTAAATGTAGATTTTTTTGAAAAATTCATGAGAAAATCAATCTAAGAAAGACTCATTTTCCAAATTAATTTATTACTAAGAAAACTTTTCGAAATTATTAAAATATAAACCTGTTCAAAAGGAACACTTCTAGCAAGTAATTTAATCAAATCTCGAGCTTTATACAAAACAAAAGGATCCCAAGTTTTACGTGTTGTTTTGACAATCATTGTGCCTTCTAATAAATCCAAATCGCCTTTGAGTTGGTGTTCAGATAAAAGTTTTGAGACTAAGGGCCAAACCTAAATTTTTAATTATAAAATTAAAACAAGGCATATTTAATCTAAAACAATTTAATAAAATTTTGATTTGAGGAAAGGGAGTTTGGACTAAAATACAAGCAAAATTCATTACAAAATTCGTTCATTATTTTCAAAAGATGGCTCTAGATTCAACAAGATTTTTGTGTTCTTTAATGGTTTCTAACAAGGAGAGTTTGCGAGGTGTCCGACTTAAAAACGGTCGAGACCGGGCTCATTCGATAGAGAATGTGCCCTTTCTAGCAAGGATTTTGAGCCATTTAAAAAATGTGTTAATCTTAATCATTGAGCTAAGAAAAAATCAAGCTCAAAGGAAAGAAAAGGAAAGGTCTTGACTTTGGAAAATCATGGTCTGAATAAAATCAGGGCCGATCTAACAATTTCAACCTTATATAAATAAAACTAACTCATGGGTCTAAAAATAAAATACTTGAAAATTTAAAAATAAAAAGCAACCTCTCTAATATATTTTTCTCGATATCTCGGAAATAGAGTTGCAAAAGAAGATTCACAAACCATCCCATGTGGATTATCTTCAGGTCCAAACGTGCTTATATCTTTTAATTTATTTAAATTAGAAATATTCATTAATTTGAAATTAACATACCCCACCATTTTTCGTCTTTTCCAGGAGGTAACTTTAACGACTTCTTTTGTTCATCCTTCTTTTCCTCCTCATTTTTCTCTTCAGTTTTTATTTTATCTTGTTGAAATTTGTTCTTTTTAGGCATTCTTAAAGAAGAAAATTTTTAAAAATTTGAAGAATAGAAAATTTTAAAAAATTATTAAAAACGACGAAATATAAAGAAAAATAAAGAGAACAGCAGACGGTCAGAGAAAAAAAGATAACAAGAATTAGAAATTTAGAGAAAAATAAATAAAAACAGAATGCCAAAAGTCAAAACTTTTAAATAAAATTTTTTTTGTTTTTTAATTTTTAGTTCTCGGAACCTTAAAAAAATTTTTTCTTTTGAAATTTTTAAACGAAATTTTTATATTTCTACATAATTTAATGAATTCTGAAGGCTCCTCTACAACAACTTTAGCAATATCTTGTGTTAAATGTACTGAAGGAGATGGAAGTTTTTTTCGTTTGGAGAATACAAAATTGGCTGGATATTGTATTAAATGCTTTCCTAAAGTTATTCAACACAAATTTGCTTCTTCTTTGGGAAGAAATCGGGTTTTTAAGGTTTTTTAATTTAATTAGTTAAGTGGTTACAGCGTTTTTCAGCGTGTAGGAGTCTGTCCTATGCCTCACTAACATACCTAAAATCATGTCATTTCTATAATTTTTATTTTTCTACAACTGGGGTGCGTCTAAATAAATATTTTAAAAGAGTTGAACCAAGGTATTTTGCTTTTTTAGGAATTAAAAATTTGAACCCATGACCTCCCTCCAGTATTCTTTATTTTTACAATTTTTGAACTTTAGAATAAATTTAAAAATAGACACAAAGCTATAGTATATGTGTTGGACTTTTCCAACCAAAAAAATCACGTCCTTGACAAAATTTTTTAACAAATAATGTTTTTTCCAGACTCCAGAACAGAGAAATGCTCTTTTAATATTCACAACAAACAAGCAACTAGAATCCCTTCAATTACTCAACTTAACATTTAAAGCAATATCAGGGCCAGAAGATCATCGAATATTGAAGCTTAATGCTAAAGTATTTTTAAATTTTAATTAAATTTTTTAAAATTAATTTTTAAAGGTTTTGGTTCTTTTTGAGGATTTAATTGACTCTGTGGAATTAAATAAACAATTAAATTTATTAAAAATATTTTTAATTAAACAAAAATTTTATTCCAAATGGAATTGGCGTTTTGGACATTTGGCTGCTATTTTTAATAAATTTGAGCATTTTTCGAAGGAATTTGGAAGAAATGAGGGAATTGATGGAGAAGAAAATGTTTGGGGTTTTTTAAATTTTTTAACTAAAATTGGGGGTATTTTGAAAATCTAATGGTAGTGTATTCATGGGATCCCTTACACGGAAGTAATTTTTTGGAAAAATTATTTCCCGACGAGATTAATTTTTAATAAATTTGGAAATTTAAAAATGTTTGTCTGCAAAATACTCAAGCCTTCGGAATCAAAATTGGTAAAGATCATAGGAGAGGAATCTTGAAAAATAACTCGTGGGTTCCCTCGCCAGCCACTAATTTAATTCATTTTCTTAGTTGGGAAATAAATTAAAAATTCTCGAAAAATTTTCTAAATTTTTCTCATTTTTCAGTTAGAAAAATTCTCCAATTTAATTTCCAATTGTCGCTCACCCAGCGTTCGTATTGAATTACTTCGCCTTATTCGTACAAAACTTTTGGCAAATTACGCTGCTTATTTCAACTTTCCATCTGTGCTTTTGAGTGAAAATGCTGATCAATTAGCTACGGAAACAATAAATAGTCTTTGCTTTGGAAGAGGTTTGGTAATAAATTTTTTTAAGTCGAAAAAAAATAAAAATAAGTCTTTGATTCTGTGTAACAAATTAAAAGTTAACAAGGGCGTAGCCAGGGGAACGCTAAGTAAACGCCAAAATTTTGGCGTACATCTAATTTTAACCTCCCAGAAATCGACCCCCTAACTACGCCCTTGAAGGTTAAATAAATTCATTTGCAAGGCAGGCAGTTGAAATCCACAAAGTTTCGTCAAGTTTCAAAAACCTCCAGCCTTTAGCTTTTAAACAAAGCCAATTCTATTTTTAGACTCCACCCCAGAATATCGACACCCTAAATATCGACGGACAAAATATCGAATGACCCTAAATATCGACACCCAAAATGACGAATTACCCAAAATATCGAAAATTTTTAAACTTCATAATTAAGTATTCCAAGGACGGGGAAGTCTTTTTAACATAGGGAAATTGTTCCAACAATGGATCAAACATCGATCATGATCAATATGTCCAATCAAAGAAGAGTGATCGATCTCCAAGGAGAATCTTGATCGGTCGATATGGTCAGTCGATCGAAAACACAATTCCCCGATGTTGGAACATCATTCCCGATCATTGGAATGCATAATTTTGAAATTTGAAAAATTCGATATTTTGGGTAATTCGTCATTTCGGGTGTCGATATTTTGGGTCAATCGATATTTTGGGTGTCGATATTTTGGGTGTCGATATTCTGGGGTGATCCCCTATTTTTAGGTTCTTCAATATTTGATATTTCTTCTGTTATTGATGACCGTCTTTCAACAAATTCTCTTCCTTTTGTCAATCATTCAATTCAATTTATACGCCCACTTCGTGATATTTCTTATAAAGAATTGGAAGCACTTGACAGGATAGAAAGCTGTGAGAATATTGAAGAAAATGGAATTAATACAAGAATTAATGGCATTATAAAAGGTAAAAATCTAATTATCAAATATTTGCGTATGTCTGCAAATACTTGCGATGTCCGCAATTTTTAAAATTTTTCTAAAAAATTATTTTACAGAAGAAAACAGTGTTCAAAGTCTAGCAAAGGATTTTATTGAGTCATTAAGAGATAATGGATTCCCCGCAACGGTTTGAGATTTTTAAATTTATATGAGGAAAAATTCCACTTATTTTTCTAAAAACCCCTACGGGAAAAATTTATTTTCGTCAACTTTTCTTCGAAAGAAATAAATATTCCTCCAAATTTTTTATCTAATTCTAATATATTTACTTAAGATATCCACAATTTTGAGCGTTTCTTCAAAAATTGAAAGTGAACGAAATGGGCAAATATGCACCCTTTGTTTTGGGCGATTTCAAAGAAATGAGGAGGAGGAAATTAATAACAAAAGTTGTTTATTTTTATTAAAAATATGTCGACCTTGTTTATCAATATTTGAAGATATTGAAAATGAAGGATTTAATTTATTACAAGAAATTGTTAATTTATAGAGAAAAATAATGTGACATTTGTGGACAAATATTTTTAAAGATAAATAATTTGACAATGAGAGGCCGCTATCCGGATTGTTCTCAATTTTATTTAAAAAATATTTGGTTACAAAATTCAATTAGAGGCTGCCAAAATTTTTTATTGAATCCATTTCTGAATTTCTAGAGACTAATCTACAAGAAAAATTTTGTCCACAAATGTCACAAAATACTAAAATAAATTTGTTAAACTTTCTATAATTTTGATTTATTATCGGCCTCATCAAAGATTGCAATAATTGATTCGGCCAGAAATTTACAACGAAATTTTTGGAGAAAATGGCCCTGAAATTTAGAGAATATGAGGCTTTTTCCCATATTTCAATTTCTAAATTGGAGACTTAAAAAATATTTCTTAAATTTTTAAAAAAACTTAAAAAACCTCATCAGCAAAATAAACAGCCACTTGTTTATGTCCTTTATTCAGTAATTTGCGAGTATTTTCAATAGTCCTTTGTTCATCTTTACTTGATTTGGAGATCTTAGAAAAGAAATATTTTTGAAAAATAAAGTAAGGCCTTATAAGTCAAAAAAAAATATGTTCTAGGCATTATTTTACGCCTGCTAAAAATAATTCCCACCAAGCGGAACCGAACCTCCCTTAAAATTAGTTGGAGGATAAAACCTTACCCACTTAACCATACAACTTCCTTTCATTTTTAAATACTTTTATTATAATCGTTGGAATCTTTTCATATTGGACTCAATTAAAAAATATATTACAACAAATATACCAATCGACATTCTTCTTTCAATCCAATATTATCCAACAATTCTTCACTTCTTTCAGGCTCTATCATATTATCATCTCCAGAATAGGCAAATAATATTCTAATTTTTTGATTCATTACTAACGGAAATAAATATCTCAATTGAATATCGAAATCGGTTGCTGTCATTGTTTTGAGGCTATGGGCAGCAATGGAACCATCTGAGACTTTAAATCCAACCCATTTGTAAACTAAAAAAATTAAAATTTTTATCAAACTGGTTGTTTTAGTCAGGCGGTTGTAGCCTCTTATTTTTAGCCTCCACTTTATTATGTAAGTGTATAGAATAAAAATCTCGGCACTATTCAGCCTCAAACTATTCTATATCCTACTTATTGTTAGCGTTCTCCAAAAAACTTACTGGAAGCATATTTTAGTATAAATTCATTAAAAATATTTTTTAAACTAAAAGAAGCGGTCAAATTTCGAGGGGCACAAAAATTTATTTTTTAACAATAATTCACTGATTTAGAGGAGCACCTATTATAAAGACATTAATTCTTTCCTAAAAATTTTTTTAAAGAACTAACTAGCTTTATAAATCGGTTCAAGCACAGACTGAAGCCTCAACCACCCAGCAAATTCCCACAAAGCAGAAAGAAATTTAATTGCGAAAAAGGGACGGACCCCAATATGTGGCTGTACTCCAACAAAATTAGCAGCGATAATTCCGACTGTTTTTTCCTTTTAAAAAATTAATTTAAAAAATTTAAAAAGTAAAACCTCATTTCTTTCAGCTAATCTAAAAGCATTTTCTACCCCTCTAGAATGACCAAAAAATATTAAAGGTTTTTGTAATTTTAAAGAATTAATTATTGATTGGACATATTCTGTTCTTTCCAAATTATCATTTTTTAAATTGTCATCATCTGAACTAGAAAATAAATAAATTAAATTAATTGGTGTGAGATAGAAATATTTAAAAGGGCTTAAGAATCTAGTTTCGATTTTCAAGGACTGGGAGGATCGTAAGAGAATCTCGAAAAATCTAGATTGACCTGAAATATCGACACAGATAACCAAGATTTTTGTTAGAGATCTCGTCTCGGGCCAGTCACTAATCAATAGTGCTGTTTTGATACTTATTTTTTTAAAGACTATTATTGAAAATAGAATATTGGAGGAAGAGAAAAAGGGATTACTAATATTTCCACTAGATATTTAAATAAGGGATGATTAAAAAATTTATTAAAAATTTAAATTATAAAACCCCTTGTATTTCCCCCTAATAATTAAAGTTTAAAAGAAAAACAAACATTCACTATAACCCATACCAGGCCAATTAATTACAATAGAACGCACTCCTTTCGGACTTATTGTTAAAAGAGGCACAATATATTTAAAATCATTGTGAGAACCGGGTGATCCATGAAGCATTATAACTGTTTGTCCTTTATGAGAAGAACCATCTGGGTGCGTATCCTGAAAAATTTAAAAATATTTTTTAAAAATGAAAAATTAGAGCCTTAATTAGTTTAAAAAAAGGAAAAAAAAACTCCATTATATAAGGGATTAGGGATTCCTGCAGAGTGATATCCATCCTTTTTTCAAAATCGAATCAAGAAAATCTTTGAAAACTTGACATTTTTAAGGTCCGAAATGCGAAAATTAACAAAATAATTTTCTGCTTCAAAATTTTGACTTCAACTCCAAACAATTTCAACTCAACTAAAACTAAAAAAAATACACATCTTGACGGTTTACCCTTTTTTCTCAAATTGAAACCCGAGTACCTTATGCTCCCAAATTTAAATAAAAATATAAAAAATTAACAAATAAACCTGATAAACAGCATTAATTGTCACCTTCCCTTTATCAGTATTTAAAGTAACAGGCAATTGAAAAAGATTAGATTCATTTGTTTGAGCAAAAGGAATTGGCTTTGTAGATAATTTATTTAAAATATTGACACTATTTTTGTTGTTCATTTTGAGAAAAGAATTAATCAAATAATTTTGAAATTTTATTAACATTTAATTTTCCATAAAATAAATTTTAAAAAAATTGAAGTTAGAAAAAATACTTGGAAAAATATTTTTAAAAATGTTTAAGAAACATAAAAAAATACATTAATTAATTTAAAAAAATTTATTTTTTTTACCAAAAATATCAAAATAATACATGTTAAAAATTATTTGATAAAAGGTAAAATATCCGCAAAATAGGAGTGTTAGACGCAGACACTAAAAATTTTAGGCGCGTATTGGTTAACTTATCAAATTTAAAGAGTTTATGGTAATAGTCGTTTCGTACCCCCTCTTTTTCCTTTCTAAAAGTGTTAAAAATGGTCAGTCAGTCTTAGGTTATAGAACTCGTCGAGCGGTGTCGAATGACACCAAAATCCACCCCTGGTCTTAACTTTGGGCCTAAATACAGACAAAAACCCTCGAAAGAGTAAGGTTTTGCAAAAGCGTCTCACGACTTCAATAGGATTACTTTATGTCATAACTTTGTCAAATCTTGTTCAATTATGTTGATTCTATGTCATTCGAATCAGCTCGACAAGCTCTTTCGAATGAGCCATTATTTGTTTAAAAATGAGAGTGGTCCAAAAAAATGAGCTTGGTCCACCCTATTATTTTTCAATTTTCGGGGGTTTGTATCTCGGCCCAAAGTTAAGACCAGGGGTTGATTTGTGTCATTCGACACAGCTCGACGAGTTTTATAAACTAAGACGACTGACCATTTTTTAATACTTTTAGAAAGGAAAAAGAGGGGGTACGAAACCGAAAAAAAATAAAAGTACGAAACCGACTATTACCGAATTTATTTCCATTAAAAATTTAATCGACGAATCAAAAGACATGAAGCAACAATGGCACCAACCCCACAAACTGCAGCTAGCCCATAAATTCTGTTATTTGACCGAGCAGGTGATTGTTGTTGCTTTTGTAAAACAATTTGATTAACAACTTTCGCAATGTCAGTACAGAAACTTTCCTAAAGAAAATAAAAACAATTTAAACCTGAAGTTGTCTTTAAAAAATAATTAAGAAAAGTTGGTAAACTTCAAATTTACAAACTTAAATTTCAAAGTTTGATCTAAAACTTGAAACAAGTTTTTACTTAAAAAGCTTGTTTTAATCTTGGCCATACTTACAATTTATCTCAATTTATAAAATTTTAATATGTACTTACCCAAGAACCCTCAATCGTAGATAGCAAAATACCCGAACCATAAATAGAAACTTGATAAATTTCACGTCTATAATCTCTAGGTAATTTATTAGAATTTTCTTCATCCTCTTCTTCACATTGTGAAGCATCCAATTCGGCTAATCGTCTAGCATATAACCCAGTAAAAGCTATCAACGCTAACAAAGCAATGGATTTGTCCATTCGTTGACTTAATAAGTCTAGATAGTGACGGACAATCTTAAAAATAATTTTTAAGGATTTTTTAAACTTTTAGAAAAACCATTCGAAAGCTTCTAAAGTTAAGTCTTCCTAAAGGTACAAGTCTATTAATCATTGTTTCTTCAATTTCTTTTCGATTATCATTCTCAAAAATAAGTGCTGCTTGTTCGAGAAGCAACCATTCTTGAGGGGGATCATCTTCTGCGCAATAAGGAGCTTCAAACCATTCGAGATTAGAGTCTTTTTCAATCTGGCGTTTAATGTAGAAAAGAAGAAACATATCTGCTCCTGGGTGATGGTTTTGTTGTTGTTGTAACATTATTTAAAATAAATTCTGTATTGAATAAAAAACTTTAGAAGATCATTAAGAATATTTTTAATATTTAATTGAAGCTTGCAATGAAGTTTCCAATTCTTACTGTGCAATTGGATCACTGTGCCCGTGTCGTAGCTAGAGCTAGGAATTTTGAAAAAACCGGGTCCGGGTAACGGGTTCTGAAAAATGGACCGGCCGGGTTCCGGGAACCGGGAAAACCCGTTCCCGGTTTCAACCCGGCTGCTTCAAAAAAAACAGGCAAAAAGGACCCGGAAACCGGGTAACGGGTCCCGGACCCTTTCCTAGCTCTAGTCGTAGCGCCCCCAACTGTGCACGGCGGGTTAAAGCGGACATAGTGAAGTGTCTAATTTTCTCTGCTTCTCTAACTTGCTCTCTCGTTTAAAGCATTACTCTCATTTATCTTTTTGCTAGAGCTAGGAATTTTGAAAAAACCGGGACCGGGTCCGGGAAACGGGTTCTGAAAAATGGACCGGGCGGGAACCGGGTCCGGGAAACCGGGAAAACCCGTTCCCGGTTTCAACCCGGTCTAGAAATGGGCGGGTCCCGGCCGGGAAACCAGGAAATTCTCAATTTGTTGAAATGGGGCTGTATTTTTCCACATGGGGCTGTATTTTTCATCTATCCCTCTATACTTATTCTAAATAACCTCTATTAAAGTAAGTAAATGATACCAGAGGATATTCGTGATTTTCAAAAAAACCTTGACCTTGATTTCAGTTAGGTACCTTGACCAGAATCTTGGCCTTGAGTCAAGGAAAAATCAAGGATTATTTTTGCTTGGATCCAGGATTTGATTCTTGATTTTTTATTTGAACAGATATCAGCAGATTAAGTGGGATTAAGTGGGATATACTGGTATTTAAAGGGATATTATAGGATTTGAAATGATATTGCGGGATTAAGTGAATATGGAAGAGGATTTGGCAGGATATCGAGGAATAAAAGGATTTTAGACGATTAAGGATACCGGTGTAAAGGCAGTACGAGTGATATTGTGTATTGGGGGATTGGAGGGATACCAGATGATATTTGGGGATTAAGAGAGAGAGGGTGGCCGAGTGGTTATGATTTAAAATTCTTTAAAAAATCTTCCTTTGACCACTAAGAAGTGAACTTTTTAGTAGAGTTGGCCGGGATCGGGATCCCGGTCGGGATCGGGCGGGATTATCCCGGGTTTTTTGAATCCCGATTTTTCTGATCCCGGTCCCGAAATAAATATCCCGATCCCGGCCAATCTCAATCCCGAGCCGGGATCCGGGATCGGGATGTGCATCAGATCCCGATGCAAATCCCGACTTTTTAAATTGATTACTAGTCTGTGAAATAAAGTTAACAAAAGAGGGGAGGCTTGAAAGTAAGAAAAATTTTCGCCTGCGGCGCAGAAAATGGGAGAAATCAAGCTTATTGGCCTTCCAAAATTTCCAACATTTCGCCTGCGGCGCAGAAAAGGGAAGAAATTTTGCTTCTTGACATCCAAATTTCTCAAAATTTTCGCCTGCGGCGCAGATAAAGGAAATGATTAAGGCATTTCTGCGGCGCTGAAAAATGAAGAAGCCCAATCCAATTTATCCCTCCCCGCAACCACAGAAAGTACTATATCCCTCCTTACTCCACTGAACGGGGAAGTAAATCATGCGCTGTTGAGACTTAAACTCATTATTTCAGCTCTGCAGCTTAAAATTTTATAAATATGTATTGAGTCGTAAGGGAGGAAAATAAAAAGAAAATAAAAATTTGTAAGTTTTTAAAAATTTTTTTTAGTAAATCCCGATCCCGAGTTTTCAATCCCGGTCCCGATTCGGGATCGGGATCTCCAGTCCAAATCCCGATCCCGATTTCGGCCAATCCCGATCCCGTGTCGGGATCCGGGATCGGGATCACCATTCCGAAATCCCGATCGGGTTTTTCTCTAAATCCCGATACCGGCCAACTCTACTTTTTAGCGTTGAAATTTTCAAAATTTTCGCCTGCGGCGCTGAAAAAGTAAGTAATTTGGGTAATTCCAAGGATTGTCCCCCCCCCCCCCCCCCCATTTTTTTTCATTTTTTTTCTTCCTTCCTCAATTTCACTCTAGTTCCCTGTGGCAAATTCAAATCAGACATTCCTCTCAAAATATGAGGTATTAACAAAGAAAGGATTAATTTCGGCTGTAGTGTAGTTCACCGGAGGTAAAAGTTCAGGACGAGACAAATGTCATTCGATTCGTCTCGACGAGTTGAGTCGAACGGTACCACTCCCAATTTCAGGAAATGGTTCTGGACCGAGTTATAGGTCCCGAAAAATCGAAAAACCATAGGGGGGACCAAGCACTTTTTTGGGGTGAAAAATTCGAATATGCAAATTATACCTCATTCGAAAGAGCTCGTCGAGCTGAGTCGAATGACACCAAAATCAACGAAATCCGACTTGATTAGACAAAGTTATGATCTTTTATTTTAGCTCCTTACCTATGGCATCTGTGGAGATTTTTGCTGCTACGGAGGCCTCAAATACATCCAGAGCAAGGGAGATAGGAATAGGTTTACGTTACGAGCCCAGACCCATCGCCCGTAGACTCCCCGCGAGGCGCGTGCCGCAAAACCCCGCGCGAAGCGCGGGGTTTTGCACTAGCGCCTCGCCGACGCTCCATAGGTTTAGGTATTTTGTTTTTTGTGTCATAACTTTGTCTAATCTTGTTCAATCACGGTGATTTTGGTGTCATTCGACTCGGCTCGACGAGCTCTTTCGAATGAGGTATTATTTGTATAAAAAAATTTTTTATTCCAAAAAACGCCCCTTTGGATCTTCGATTTTTAGGCGTCTATATCTCGGTCATATGAAGTCAGATTTCGTTGATTTTGGTGTCATTTGACTCAGCTCGACGAGTTCTTTCGAATGAGGTATAATTTGCATTTTCGAATTTTTCACCCCAAAAAAGTGCTTGGTCCCCCCTATGGTTTTTCGATTTTTCGGGACCTATAACTCGGTCCAGAATCATTTCCTGAAATTGAGACTGGTACCATTCGACTCAGATCGCCGAGACGAATCGAATGACATATGTCTAGTCCCGAACTTTTACCTCCGGTGAACTACACTATATCCTTAATTTCTTCATCGATTAAAGTTGGGAGGAATGTGATTTGAATTCTCTCTCTTATTTTGAGAGGAATGTCTGATTTGAATTTGCCACAGGGAACTGGAGTGAAATTGAGGAAGGAAGAAAAATTGACCATTATATCATTCTTAAGGAAGGAAAAAAAATGAAAAAATGAAAAAAATGGGGGGGGGGACAATCCTTGGAATTACCGTAATTTGTCTTACGGGCTTCCAAAATTCTCAAAATTTTCGCCTACGGCGCAAAAAGTTTTGAAGTAGGTTGATGTGCTTCAAAGCTTTCCAAGATTAAAAAATTATTGCATACGACGCTTTAAATTTAAAACTAGTGTCCTGAACTCCAAAAAATCATAAAAATCTTAGATTCTTTGCTTTTTTTCACAAGTACGAGTAAGAAATTTATAAACTATCTGAAATTTATAAACACTGCTTACTTGAAACAGTTTATGGGATGGAAGGCCGATTTTCTTTTCTAAAAGCATCCTTTATACACAAATTCAACCCGTATACAAAAAATTCAACTCGTGTCCGTAGGCAAAGAAGCCAGATTTCTTACTTTTCCAGCGCCGCAGGCGAAAATTTTTAGAATTTTTCAGATTTAATACACTAAATATTTTTCCCGGTTTCCCGGTATAAAAATGGCCGGGACCGGGTCCGGGAAACGGGTTCTGAAAGTTGACCTGGCGGGAGCCCGGTCCGGGAAACCGGGAAAACCCGTTCCCGGTTTCAACCCGGTCGCTGCAAAAAACCGGGAAAAAGGACCCGGAAACCGGGAAACGGGTCCCGGACCCGTTCCTAGCTCTACTTTTTGCCCACAAATCTTTGAAACTCGATATCTCGGCGTAAAAACTTGAGTTTTAAAAATTAATCTCGGATATTATAGAAAAAGTCTTAATTAGTATCCATGCAAAAAATTTTTATTTTCTTGAACTTTTGAAAAATTTTTTGATGTTTTTCTATAATAGTTGGCTTAGATATGTAAGGAGTTAGTCGAGGTAACATGTGCAAGAATTACATAGCTTTTGTTCGTTTTTCATCCCTGATTCGTATAAAACAGAAATTAGGAAAAAAGGACAAATTTGAAGTAAGTATCAAATTTCCGGCCGGTTAATTTTCATTTCCCGTTTGTCGCCGAAGCGACGTCTGCGATGAAAAAGACTTAAATATTTTTGATTAATTTATTGGTGATCCTTTGCACCGTCTATTTTTTAATCGTTTGTCTTTTGCCCGATAACTTTAATGTTAGCGACACCCTTATGTGCTAGCCCCATTTCTGATCGCTTCTCCATTAGCTTAATCATTTTATTTATTTTTAAGTTTTATAGCTATTTTTAGCTCTATTTTTTCTCTGTGTAATTTCTCCTTCATTTATTCACATTTTTCCCCACCTGCGCTTTATTTAGTTTTTTCCAACTTAGGTTTTGGCCTTTAATCCATTTTAAATTCTTTTCAACTAATTAGGCCAAACTTAAGTTTGTGTTCTCCTCATTTAATTTTATGGTTTAATTACCCAAGTTTAAGGTCCTGAATAAATATTATTTTTTGTTTATTCGCTTTTGCTTGGTATTCCTTTAATTCGCCGTCCTAAGGCGTGTCTGATCCCGCTCGTCCACTAAGGAGCGTGCGATCCATCCCGCTCGTCCATTTAAGAGCCGCAATCTAATAGCTCGCCAATCTACAGAGCAGGGCTGGGCTTTGCTTTCGCTTTCGCATTTTTCGCATTTTTTGGCGCGAAAAGTTTCGCATTTTGGTCCAAATGCGAAATTTGTTTCGCATTTTTCATTTAGTATTTCTTTATTTTTTAGATATTTTGACATAAAATTTTTTAAAGGAAAAGGGAAGAAATATCAATAATCTATCCCAATTTTACTTTTGTTGGTCGATGGTGGAGTGGCTAAGTTGACTGAATACGTTCACTTTGGTGTAGTTTGGGGCTGGGTTCGAATCCAGATGTAGGAAATAAGACTTAAACAATTTTTCCTTCCAAAAATAAATGTTTTTAAACTTTGATTTTGATTTTAAATCTGTAAATTTATTTTTTTATTATGTCAAACCTGAAAAACATTAAAAATTTTAATTTAGTAATGAATTTTCCAAATTTTCGCCTGCTGCGCAGAAAATAAAAGTAATCTGACTTAAGGACCTCTGAAATACTCAAAATTTTCGCCTGCGGCGCAAAAAATGGAAAACGAGTACGAGCAATTTTCATATTCTAAATAGAGTTGAGCGGGATCGGGATCCCGACCTAAAATCGGGATTGGGATTTTGGAATAACGACCCTGATCCCGGTCCCGACTACGGGAGCAGGATTGGTCGAAATCGGGATCTGGATTTGAAATAATGACCCCGATCCCGAATCGGAACCTGTAATGCCCCGAACCTGCAATGCCCCGAACCTGCAATGCCCCTTATTTTTTTCGATATTCGGGACAATATCTCGGTTGACAGGCAGTTCCATGAATAGAGTGTGGTATCTTTCGACTCATCTCGCCGAGACAAATCGAATGGTATGTGTTTCTTATCGAAATTTTGCTTCCGGTATACTATACCATGTCCAAAATTTTTCTAGAATTTTTAACTAATTTCGCTTTCGCATCTTTCGCATTTTTCGCATTTCGCTTTTTATTTTTTGATTTCGCCCAGCCCTGCTACAGAGCTTTGGTTCCATCCTTTCGCCCACTAGAGAGGATCACCTTTTTGAAGATTGAGGGATTCCCGGGACATTCAGCTCAGCTACCTCCCGACTAGCTCAGCTCCTATTCATCTTCATTCAGTCTTATTCAACCTCCCAACAGCAGTGCGGTTCATACCGTCGCGCCGCACCCAGCTATCATTCTTACAGCGACACCGTTCCTGGTCCCGGCTTTTTTTTGACCGGGAAACCGGGAAAAATTCTAGCAGCTAATTTTAAATATTTTTGCTTGGCGTTTTGATTTTTGACTTAAAAATATTGGAGATTTTATAAAAATTCTCAAAATTTTTGCCTGCGGCGCTGAAAACGGAAGAAATTTGGCTGTTTGGCCTACCAAAATTCTGATTTTAAAAACAATATTCTGATTTTTAATTCTGGTCTTATAAGATAAGATTCTGATTTTATACTTACCGTATTTATTCTAATAAAATGGCCCCTCCATTAGAATGGCCCCTCCAATAGAATGGCCCCTTTTTGGGGGTAATGAAAAATAGAATGGCCACCTCCATTAGAATGGCCCTCCAATAGAATGGCCCTCTTAACTACTAAGTATATGCCTGAATACATTTCTTTATTTTCTTATTATGTATTAAATATTACACTTTAGTAAGGATAATCATAATATTTTCGAGCAAATCTGGAGTCATAAAAGGGAGATTAAGGGGGATATTAGGGGATTTGAGAGGATTAGGAGGGATATCAAGAAATTACAACGATTTAATGAAGACGCAAGGGATTAAGAGGATTAATAGATATTTATGAATTTGACGATATAAGGAAGTTAAATATAAGGTTGTCGGATCCGGTACGGATATCGGATCCGGATATCCGAAGATTTCCAACTATCCGACAACCTTAGTTGAATACATTCATTTTATCAGGGGACTTGAAGGGACATAGGATTTTGAGGAATAATGATGGATTGAGTGAGATTTGGGATAAAATTCTGGAAATTTCAGGATCCCTTGAAGCCATACGAAAATTTTCGAATTTTTGGAAGTTCAGTGTTTTAGTACTCTTTAATCTTTTTAAAAATTTTAGTATAAATTTTTAAAATTTTTAAAAATTTAGAATTTTCAGTACTCATTAATCCTTCGATATCCTCCAAATTCACCAATCCCCTCCAAATCTCTCCCGTTTTCAATAAATTACGTCCAAATTCTAAGATCCCGATAAATTTTAAGAGCCAATTGTACTGTGTGGCACCGAATTAAATCAAAAGTTGCCTTTTTACCAGCCGGCAAACTTAAGTTTATAGCAGGGCTCTCATTCGTGCTTTATTTGAAAGTATTATACTTTGAAACCGACCTCCATACTTAAGAAATTGAATTTATACTTTATTGAAAGTATATACTTTAAAATCAACATTTTGGATTGAAAATGAAATTGGGGAAGGGATTGGGCAAAAAAGTGAATTTTTTTAGCCTTGGGCCTTCGAAATTATCAAAATTTTCGCCTGCGGCGCTGAAAAAGAAAGAAATCTGGCTTCTGGGTCTGGTTACAAAAATGGATCTGTTCTACTACATAAATTCACTTTGACCCGTTTGTACTTTTTTGGAGAAAGGAAAAGAACGGAGAACAAATGAAACAAGAGGAGATAACCCAGAAGTACATTAATTATTTAAAAAATTAATTTTTTTAAAAGCTTTTCCCAATGGATTTACATGGAAAGGTTAAAATAAATAATTTAATTATTTAAAAATTAAATATACATAAAAGGCTGTAGTGGTAATAGGCGCTACAACAGGGTTTGGCCATCAATTTGTAATTAAATGCGCTTCAAAGGGAATGACGGTGTTTGCTGCCTGTAATTCCCCTAATGTTTGTATTCTTTTAAATTATTCTGATTTTAAATTCTGATTATAATAAAATTAAATTCTGATTTTATTCTGATTTACAAAAAATATTCCGAATTTTAATTCTGATTTAAAAAAAATTCTGATTTTAAAAACAATATTCTGATTTTTAATCTGAATTTATAAAATAAATTCTGATTTTATTCTGATTTGCAAACTATTCTGATTTTAACTTCAAATTTTATAAAATAAATTCTGATCAAAGTTCTGATTTTTTTCCGACTTACAAGAAATATTCTGATTTTTAATTCTGAGTAAAAACAATACATATTCTGGTTTACAATATTCTGATTTTAAAAATAAATTCTGATTTCTAACAACTTATTTAATTTTTAAGGGTGTTCAAAAAGTAGTCCAAGCAACTTCCCACCTTTCTGGTTTCGTCCATGCCCATTCCCTCGATTTATCCTCAACAGATTCTGTTGAAAAATTCTTCCGTCAAGTAATAAACCAACTACCTCCTGGCACAGGAATACATGCTTTAGTAAATAATGCTGGAATTATAAGGGCTGGGGCAGATGATTGGTTAGCTATGGAGGATTATGAACATGTTTTGAGAGTTAATTTATTGGGGCTAATACAAATAACTAAATTATTTAAAGAACATATTAAATTAGCAAAGTTTGTTTTATTTTTTAATGGAAATTCTGATAAAAACAGAATTTTTTTATTAATTTTTGGGAGTTTTAAGAGGAAATTGTAAAGGTGAACCACGCTTACGCGAAAATCTATAAAATCACATAGAGACCACCTAAAATCGTGAAATTTTGTGTAGATACACTCACTACTGTTAACTAATTTGTCTAGAAATTTCGGAATTTTTGGTTAGGTATATACCAAATTATGGCCAAAAAACTAACAAAAGAATGGCAATTTTACACAAAATTCAGATTTTTGAAAAGAGTTTTCCAAAAATAAATAAAAAAATTAAAAAAATTTTTAATTCGTACATAATGTAAGGAAGGAGGAGAATAGTTGGTACTAGCCAGGGGATCTTTTAAAAGAGGGGTGAAGGCGTCGCCTCGAAAGCGAAATAATCGGTAGATTAGCTGTACATTGTGAGCGAAGCCCTTAGCAATAACTGCCCAGGAGCTTGCAGGCAGTCATCTTACTTAGTGTTAGCAATAGCTGCCAGGAGCTCTTTTACCTCTCTCTCATTATAAATAAAAATAAATCTAGTCTAATACTTTAGTTTCAATATTAAATTTTTAGAGGCCGTATACTCTTCTGTTCGAGTATATGTGGAAGAATTGCCTTTCCTTACTATGGTCCCTATACAGTATCTAAATTTGCAATGGAAGGATATTGTGATACAATACGGTCAGAATTAGTAAAATTTACAGAGAGAATTATTTCATTTTTTCAGTCGAGAATTATCCCCTTTTGGAGTTAAAGTCGCTGTAGTAGAACCAGGCTATTTCCGTACCCCAATAACCAATCCAGACCATATCCCCAATGAAATGGAGAAATCATTTAATAAATCATCACAATATATTAAAGAACAATACGGACATAATTTTATATTAAAAAATAAAGAAATAGCCAAAAATCATTTATCTTCTAAAGCAAACTCTCCAAGAGTTGATTGGGTTGTTGATGTGTATGTTTTTTTTATTAATTTTTATTCGAAAAAATATGAAGGATTAATTTAAAAAATGTTTTTAATTAAAAATAATGTTATTATTTTATTTTTCTTTTAAAATAAAAATTGTTTTACATGCATGGGGTTCGAACCTCCATCCTATAGACAGTGGAACAGGGACCTTTCCGACTACACCACGAAAGTAACAGGGGTTGTTACTTATATTTTTGCAACTTTTTTCCAACTTGTTTTTCCAACTTTTTTCAAACCTTTTTTTCTATTCCAGAAAATTCTGAGTTTAGAACTTGACAAAAAATAAACTTGAATTAAAATAATTCTGATTTGCTTTCAACTTTTTTTTCTATATTCTGGTTAATTCTGATTTTAAAACTTTTAAAAAATAAACTTGAATTAACCAATAATTCTGATTTTTATTTATTTTTATTTTTAAAGCTATTTTCATGCCTGTACAGCTATATTTCCCCGTAAAAGATATGTTGTTGGTATTGATGCTAATTATGTGTAGGGAGAAGATTAATTTAAAAAATTATTATTTTTCTCATTTTCAGAGTAATTCCAATTTCTCGTTTACCAACAGAAATACAAGATTTAATTTTTTGGTTAAATTCAATAATTTTAAAAAATCCATTGCCCAAAATTTTGCACAATGGGGGCTGTTTAAATGCCAAAATGGTCCATAGATGGATAAAAAGTGCAAATGGATTTGTGGCTTATTTGGAGGGGGAAGAGAAGGAAAGGTAAAAAGAGAGGGAGAAAAAATTTTTTGGAAAAAATTAAACCTCTATTTTGCGTACCTCAATATAAGCGACTATGTACGTTGTATAGAGGTTTAGTAGAAAAATCGAAAAAATAATTTATTAAATTTTTTAGATATGTGAACAAAATAAAAAATATTTTTTCAGTTCATTAAATTCTTCCGGCTATTGGGAGTTCAATCAAAATAGCGAACGCGAAGAAGAAAAATAAAATGAACTATGGAAATGAAAATTAAAAAAAATATTTTCTTTTTAACATTTTCTTTTACATAAATATTAATATGCGTAGAAAAATTAAATTTTATGTAGTGAATAATTTTTTATATTTTTTATTAAAGTTTATAGATTAGAGGGAGTGTTTTCCGTCCCAATAATCTCCAATAATCAAACTCCAACTCGACTTAATCCCAATAATCAAACTCCACTCGACTTGAACAGAGGATGTGCGATTTTCAAGTGATTATTCTTCCGTCCACCCAACCTCTCCTTAAAATTGGTATTCATCATTTTTTATCAGACATTTTAATTGAAAAGCCCTGATAAAAGTTAAATGTTTTGAGTTTTTAATTATTTTTTTTGTGTGGGTATTTAAAATATTGTTTTTGATAAATAATAATAAGAAAAATAAATTTAAATATCAAGTTTAATCTTCATGTGAATTCTCCCAATTTTTAAATTTTATTTTTCATATAAAATAGCCTTATAAAATTATTTTCAAATTTTCTAATAAAAGAAGAATCCAAACATTCAGAGAAGGTGGAAAAATAATAAATGCAAAGTTAAACTTTTATTTACTGTTTCGGAAAAGTATAAAGAGAATGTTTATTTATTAATATTAACTTTTCCTTAAAACGTATAAATCGGCACATATTTTTTTAATTTATTTATTTTTTTGTTCGGATTCTCATTTTTAAAATTTCAACCAAAAATTCGTTCCCTTTTTTAAATTAAAAAAATTTCTTTTGAATTTTTTAGCATTTTTTAGTCAGATTTTTATAAATTAACAAAATTAAATTTTTTTCTGGTACTTTTCCGTTATACGACCGCAAACTAAGTGCCAGCCGATTTTAATGGACTATAACTTTTTGATGCTTGATCCAATACTTATGAACTTTAGCATTCGAAAGCACTCGATAAGCTGTATCTTTTTTCCAATTTGATAGATCAGGTCTGATCACTCCTTAAAAAGTTGTAGCCCGATCAAAGTCGGCTGGCACTTAGTTTGCGGTCTATAACGCACAGAGTTGCGTGGTAATCGAAAATTTTTTTCGTAATCGTAATTCGTAACTGAAAAAATGCCGTAACTAGTAATTTTTTAAAAATTTTTAAATTAATTTAAAAAAAGTTCCTCTCTAAATAAATTCCTTCAATATTTTTCTTTGATTAAAGGAAATGCCACAATAAAGTGTGACAAAAAGGTCGTCTTCAACATTAAATTTATTTTCCTTTAGCAGTGATTCTCCAACAATTTTTTGCTCAACATTCTAATCAATCGATGACTCGAACCACGCTCGGCGCCTGATTTTTTATAAAAAAATAAAAAAATAGAACTAACTAGGACTACTGTTTTTGATAAATTTAGCAATCTCATCAACTCTTTTAATTTTCCGCTTATTTGTTAATTCTTCGAGTAATTTTCCTGGCTTTAATGCCGCTTCCTTACACTGCTTCTCCTTTTTGCTTGAATTATATTTTCTTTTAAATTTTTTAATTGGGATTTCAAGAATAAATTTTCGTATACTAGCGAGTATATCGTTCCATAGGTTCAGTTTGAACAGAACACAAGCATCTTGCATTATTGGCTGCTCACTTTGAACTGACTCATCTTTCAATAGAAGAATTGTTCGTACTGCAGCTTCTTTCAGTGGAGGATGAAAAGCTTGTAATGCAGCTACTTTTATCTTTTTCCTCACCATTTATTAGACATTCAGTTGAAATAATGGCTGAAATTTGTAAAAATAACGATTGAAAATAAAATTTAAAAATCTGCTGATCCCCGATTTTTTTGCACGATCCTCCCTTTTTGCAAATTATTAATATTTTTCGCCTTTCTCTCTTGCTGTTTCGCCCATCTGGCTTCAACAATTGTTTATTAGATGATCTAAGTCTCATCTGAAGATTTCAACAAAAAAAAACTAACTCTTTTTAGAAATATGAAAATCCAGGGAATTTTTTTTATAAAATCTTGAAACAATTATCTATGATGGTGGGAACAGATTTTTTAAAAATGGGATTAGTTTCCAATATATATATTTTAAACGGTACACCTCGTTTCGGCGCGCACATTTCGGTGCGTCACGATTCGGCGCGGGACACGTTTCGGCACCCATAGTGAAATTTCACATAAACTTTCGAAAACTTCAAGAACAAAACATTATTAAACAAAATATTTATTAAGTAAAATGTTGACTCAAATTTTTTCAATTTTGTGACTACAATAACAAAAATTTAAATTGACTTAAAAATATAACTTAAAAATAATAACTTAAAAATAAAAAAATCAGAAAAGGAATCACGGGTTCATTCTATAATTTATTGAAATACCTTTCAGATATTCAATGATTCTATTAGGATTCTGATTGTAGTCGTGGTCATTGATGTCCAAAGCGTTAAAAGCAACGGAAGATAATTCTGAACTTTTGCCAGGATCCGCGCATCAGCATCTCGATATTTTTTTCTTTTTAGAGGAGACTCACGCCCAGTAATAAATGCAAAAATCAACATCAGTAGCCTGTAAAAATTAAAGAGAAAATGGTACTTTTCGGTTCTGCCACACCCCTCCCATATATTCGCAGGTTAAATTTTATATCTTTCCTTCATACTTACAGAATGGTCAGACTTCCTCCTTTCTAGGGGAAATTGTTTCAAGGGAAAACTGAGTAAAAAATAATCTTTTCTTTATTAACAGCCTCTCATTGAACATACCGCAGGGAAAACTGCTGGAATTGAATAAAGGATAAAGTAAAATATGAAGGAAAAACATGCGAATATATGGGAGGGGTGTGGCAGAACCGAAAAGTACCGAGAAAATCAGAAAATAAAAATAACTTTTTGCACTTTCTGAAGAATTGAGATGAAATGCCAAATTGATGGATGAGAACAGTTGAAATGATATTGCAATTTTTTGTATGCAGCTTCAGAAAAATTATTCGTGCGACAGTCATTAGCGAGTGTTCGGTCATAAACACTCCACATTTCTGGATCGAAGCGTGCTGTGTACGTAAACCATCAGGACTTGGGCGGCCAGTGTAATTGTTCATTTACCTTAAATATACCATTTTTACAAAATCGTGTCATTAAATTTAAACCAATCTAGCATAGGCTCAATCTCTGGCACATTTCGAAACTCCAAGTCTAAGGCATTAACAGCAGCTGATGATCACAAACAGGCACAAATGTAACCGAAGTTAACATATTCGCATTTCCGCAAATGTAGGATCCAAATTATAACGCTTAAAAATCGGAAACTACTCAAAAAATATAAACCTGAAGTAAATTTTGTTCTGCTATTTTTTTCATGTTTCTAACAAAGTGAAAAAAACAATATCTAATTGAACATTGTCCGTTAAAAACAGTTTGTATCGAATTTGTCACAGCAGACTCGAAGTCAATCGAAAACGATGCCGGATTAAATGTTGGCCAACTTGCTCGAATCATGTTAAACATTTTTTCATAGTTTGACTGGGTTTTACAAGTTAAAAGAGCATGACAAACGGGAAACACCCAACGGTCACGTCTATATATTAGGTTATAAAAAAGAAAAATTAAATAAACCTGGCCAAAATCACATAAATTTGGTAAAAGAGAGGAGGGCTAAGACTAAAAGTGCCGTCCCCATAACAATTCTCATCATTTGTGCCCAATTATGGTTTGCTGCAGGTGCAAAAATAAGGATTCTAAAAAGGGACTCGAAATCAAGGACATTCAAAAATATAATCAAAACCTTTGCGGATTTTCATTTCCTTTCATAATATACTCCAGAGTCACTTAACAAAAATTGCTCCTGAACTAATTCGGTTTTTTTGTAAATTTGATAGGCGGCTGGAAAAAAACGGCTGGAAAACGACTGGAATAGGCGGAAATATATAAACGGCTGGAATAGGCGGAAAAAAACGGCTGGAATAGGCGGCTGGAAAAAAACCTTCATAGTTTCAAGTGCACGTCTCTTAATCCCAGTTTTCACTTGTTGTGCCGCGATGAGAGCTGGATTATGCTCACAAGTATGTTGTGTCACCATCCGAATAAAATTATTTTCCAATGTAGTTCAGATACGCCCTTTGTAGTTGTCAATTCCTCCAGATTCCAAAACTTTAAATTTTTTTAAACTTAATTCCAAAACTTTATTGATTCATCCTTATTAAATTTGTCAAAAATATAGAGATGTCCGTCATAGTTTAACTTTTCTTTACCTCTTTTAGTATCAATTTTATCAGTTGTAAACATCTAAATTTTAAATATCAAACTATTGCTTTAAACATTAAAAAATAAAAAAAAACAAAATTTCACGATGGGCGCCGAAACGTGTCGCATCGAACCGTGCGCGTCGAACTCTGGTGCTCCGATTTTAAATCCAATAACTTCGGATTTGTAAAAATTACATAAAAAGAGTATGGAAAAACAAGAGAAAATTAGAGAAAAAAAAGAAATCGAGCTATATTTTCGGTACACCTCAATTGAGTCCGCACGATTGAGTCCCCACGATTGAGTCCGCACGATTGAGTCCCCACGATTGAGTCCCGGCACGATTGAGTCCCGGCACGATTGAGTCCGCACGATTGAGTCCCCGTTGTATATACCTCAATTGAGTCCCCGTGGATTTAATAAGTTTCAAAAGGTTTAAGATGGATATCCGGGATATTGAAGGCTTAAAGTGAATTTTAGAGGACATGTATGCGACATCGAGGGATCAAATTGGATATCGGTGGATATGAAGGGATATATTTTGTATTTGAAGATTAGGAGGTATATCCGGGCATGTATATGTATCTCCAAAATATACATGCGCGGCTGCTCTTTTTCGCCTTCAGTTTTCTTCCTCCTCCCTCTCCGTCTCATTGGCTATAAGATCTTGGTATTCTTCTTCTCCCAGCACTACATTATCCTCGTTACTGATGGTCTCCCTTGCAGTTTCGTGAAGTTCTCGGCACAAGTCGATGCCCTCCACTGGTTCGTCTTCTGCCAGTGGAGGGCTCGTTCCTCCCGATCCCGCTGCGAGACATCAATGCCAGCCGACAGATGTTCCACGCTGAAGCTCTGTTCCTCCACCTTGACCGTGGTACCCATTTAAACTTGTTGAGAAGCGTGTAATTTACGAAAAAAAATGAAAAACTAGAAATTTAGAAAAAATGAAAAACAAGATAAGCTAATAACAAGGGTGCATAAAAGCTGTAAGATCTCAGGAACAATCTGCCCGGCATTTATTTTAAAAAATTAGAAATTTCAAAAAAAAATTTTTAAAAATAAAGAAATTTTTTAAGACTTCAAAAATTAAAAAAATCTGCTGAAAAGAATCATGTATTGCAAGCAGATTCTGTCAGCTTATTCCATCCCGTAACATTTTTGAAATAATCCCGCATGCAAGATATGGAATTTTTTAAATTAAATCCACGGGGACTCAATTGAGGTATATACAACGGGGACTCAATCGTGCGGACTCAATCGTGGGGACTCAATCGTGCCGGGACTCAATCGTGGGGACTCAATCGTGCGGACTCAATCGTGGGGACTCAATCGTGCGGACTCAGTTGAACTGCTCCGCTATATTTTAGTTGATTGGCGTTCTGCCGCAGTAAATGACATTTTGTTCGTTATTTACCGTTCTAGTCTACTGTGACCCTACGATCGAATAACCCCAAGAAAAGTCTTGAGTTGACCCTCTTAATCCCTCTCTATCACATCAAAATATCTCAATATCCACTTTAATCCCTCGAAATCTATCTATATCCCCCTTACTCCCTCCAAATACAAGAAAAATGCTGGGACTCAATCGTCTCATTTCGGGTGAAGACTCAACTGGCGGAACTTAGTCGTCCGTCGCCGAGCTATTGATTACCCGTGTCGTTCCGTGTTTTTTTCATTTTATTTTTAACCAACTTCGTGAATCATTTTGTGACGGTTTTTATTTATTTAATATTGATTAGATTATTAGACTTTAATCATTTTTCATAATTTTGTAAAAAATATTTAGATGTTGTTTTATGTCTCAATATTCTACTTGTTATTTTATGTCCAAACAATTTCTGGCAATGTTATTACTTGTGATGGATTTATTGAATCGACAATTGAGATTGAATTTGCAGAAATTAAGGTTTATATTTTAATTAAAATTCTTACATATTAAATAAAATTTTAAGGTAAAGGTTAATACTTATCTTGGAAATTTGGAGTATGTTGCTAAATGTGACCTGCGAGGTGGATATTTTCAAGTTCCATTTTATGACGAAGGGAAATACTTGGTGAAAATTATAGCTCCAGATGGATATAGTTTTGGTATATTTATGGTTTTTTTTTACAAATTTTAATTTTTATAGACCCTGAGGTTAAAGAAATTGAAATTGACAACAATGTCTGTTCTCAACAATTAAATTTTAAATTAGCTGGAATTCAAGTTTCGGGCAAAATTTCGAACGGGGAAATTACTTCTTTGGTTATGGGCCTTTATCAAGAGGGAAATTTACTTGTAAAGACTGATGTTGATAAGGAAGGAAACTATAATTTTGTTACACGTCCAGGTTATAATTTGCCTAAAATTGCTAAATTAACGGGAAAATGTTTAATTTAAGGTGATTACGTCATTTCACCATTCAGTGCTCCAAAATTGTGTTTGAATCAAGGAACCGTCAAAATTACTGTTGGGTCAGTGCCAGTGACAGTTAATCCAGATTTTCGAGTGGATGGTTACAATTTGGTTGTTAACGTAAAGGATAAAGAGGGAAATCCATTTCCAACTTCAACTGTTCTTTTAAGCTCAGATAATGAGATTAATGTATATTTTTATGTTTTACTAATTTAGGAGGGGGGGGGGTTAACTTTCAGTCATTTTTAAAAAATATACAATTCTATTATGTTTTTTTAAATTCAGTTTACTAAACCTCAAATGGGTGCTGAATATCCATTTAGTCAGAATGTTGGTCATAAATGGTTTTATCGATGGTTGACAGATAATCTTGGCTCTGCTACAATTGTTTGTTTACCTAGTGGGAACTATATTATAGACGCAGAAAATTTCTTAAATAATGTAAAAGCAATTTTTGGCCAAAAAATAATTGAAATGAATTCAAATAATGAGGTATTTTGAATTATTTAAATTTTTATATAAATTTGTTGAAATTCCGTAAACGAATAAGAACAAATTACCTAGTCATTTTAAAAATTCTATCAAGGAATTTTTAGCACTATCCAATAGGAAGTCGGGGGTCCTCTATCGAATGGTACCAAAAAAATACTGAATTCGTACTCACAGTAACATATAATTCCTAGTAAGCCTTCAAAGGTAGTCTAGTAAGCCTTTCCCTTAAGCCTTCAAAATAAGCCTTCAAATTATCTGAATATATTCAAATATTTTAGGTAAACATTTCTGTGATATCTTTTGATGTTTTTGGAACTGCTACAGACAATCATTATTACAAAAATGCTTTGTATAAATATGAAGTTAATTCTGGCTCTAAAGCGTCAAATAATGAATCTAATAATGTAACAACGAGTATGGTAGATTTTTCTACAGTGCTTTCTGTTGTACTCGCCTTTGTTGCTTTATTTATTATGTGCATCTTTACCTTTTTTCAAATATATATTTGCTTAAGCGACAAAATGAATTCAGCGAGAATTGAATCTAATGACAACTATCACAGATTAGATGATAAAATGACTACAAATAATCATCTAATAATTGGTATGCGAGAAAACAATAATGAAATGCGAAATCATATTAACAACGGCAATCAACAATTATCAGAACAAATAAATAACAACCATCAACAGTTGAGTCAAGAAAATCAACAATTAAGAACGGACATGAACAACAACCATCAACAGTTGATGAATGTTTTTAATCAATTGAACAACACAGTTATTACAAACAAAACGGTTTTGGAGAACAAAACAAAATTTATTGACTCGAAAGTGGATGCTGTTAGTGATGTGGTTCGAAAGATGAAAGTAGAGAATAATCTAAGATAGAATATTTATTGACAGAATTAATTTATGTTAGAATAATTTAGTATTTTAGTGTTTTTATTACTTACAATCCAGTCTCAATTTCACTCCTTTTGTAATTATTGGGAGAATGTATAACATAGCCAAGCTTATTTGAAGTTAACCAACTTATTATGTTTTTTAGAAATTAAAATAAATTCTGACCTGATACGAAACCTCTTTTGTTTTACCTTTTTTGACTCTGAATCTGGGAAAATCTAGATTTTAAATCCAATGGAAGAAAAATTTTTTCTCCCAAAAACCGATTTAAATTGGGAGGAGTTAAATTAGAGACTGACTAATTGTGATCTCGACCAAAATTGCCTTTGACCAGAATTGCCTTTATTATATTTATACATAAATCTCATTTTTATAATTAAATTTGATAAACTTTTTCCCCCCTCTCCCACACGTCCGCAATACTTTTCTCCTTCTTTCTCAGTCATTTATTATAAATATTTTTAAATCCATCTCATCGGACAGGTCGAATGGTACCACTCCATGATCAGAAATATCTGGGGACTGAGATATATATAGGTCCCAGAAGATTGAAAAACATAGGCTGAGTAAATTTTTGCGGTAAAATTTTCGACTATAGAAATAAAAGTTCATTCGAAAGAGCTCGTAGACTGAGTTAGAATGACACCAACTAAAATCAGTTTGATTCAATAATTTTAAACAAAATTGTGGCCTATGGTAAAGTCAAGCTAAAGATTTGTGGGGATATAACGGAAAAGAGTACAAAATATAGTGTTTAACTATATTCTCCAAAAATTTTAAAATTTTTGCTCAAATATTTTTTAAAATAAAAATATACAAAAAACCGACATTTTTAAAGGGTATACGAACACTTTCTTTCCTAACTACAAAAATAATTGCCCAAAAATTCTCAAATTTTTACACAACTTAGAAAACATTCCTGTTGATGTCCATGCCAAATTTCATGAATTTAGCTGCTCATTTGTTCATTTTATTTAAACTCGCGCCTAAACAGACCGCGTCTAGACGCCTACCAAAAATACAAGGTAAATAAATAAATACAACTTTAATTAAATAAATCAACCTTTTTTGGTTATAATTTATTTTTATTTCCTGCTTTTTAATCATCCTTTTTTATTCGTTTATGTCTCTTTCCCTTTCAACTTTCGCAAAAAAAGCTTTTAATATTTATAGACTAAATAGTATATAATCAGGTTTTAATCTTTTTCGCTTTTTGGATTTTTTTTGATTGTTTTTATTTTTATTTATTGTCCCCCCCCCCCCCATTCACGTAAATTAATGCTTAGATTGACATTTTCCTGTATGCTCGAATAGTTACCCCCTTCAGCGAAAAGGTTAGAGTATCAATCTTCCTCAAATACCCTTCCCCAAAATTCACTACTACTACACGTTCAAATTACAAAAATTGAATAAACCCCCCTTTTACTTAATTACTCCCTATAACAAGAGGTTGAAATAATAATTAACCAGGGTTACTATTTTTAATGCCATTACAAAAATTGAATAAAATGAAAGGCGGCTTTTGGATTACGTATTTCATTATTAAAATACTTGAAAACCAAAGATCAAACTTAAATGGGTCGAATTCAATTAAGATGAAAAATTTCGTTTTTGCCCATTCAAGAAATCTTTCTAAATTCTTGTAAAATCCCTAAATCAGCTGACAATTAATCATTCATAACAATGTCAAGAATTTCCCGATTGCGATATTTTTGGTACCTTTCAACTCAACTCGATGAGCTTTTTCAAATCTCTTCTCTTATTTACACATTAAAAATCCAAGATAATTTTTAATTTTCGAAAAGTTAACATAATACTTCATGTAGAATCGTAAGAAAGTTTATATAAAATTTCAAACAATTTTTGAAATAATTTTAGGGATCTCAATTCCCCCCTCTTAAAATTTCAAATGTCAATCAAAACTATCAATAAATTCCGGCAATTTTCATTTATTACAATTTTATTTTTAATAATCTTTTCATCAAAATATTTTGTTAGAGTCAAAGCCTTTTCTAAAAGTACAACAAGTTTGGCAACAATCCCCCCAAGTGATGAAGTTGTTAAACCGAGAACTTGGTCCAGACCTACAACAACAACTACAAGTACAACAACCACCACTACAACCACAACCAGCACAACTACAACCACTACAACAACAACAATGACTCCTAGACCTAGACCTCAGCGGTGTCGTGATAAGGACATGAATTGGTTATTTTTTGAGTATTTTATAGACCGTCTATACTAATCAAGGCCTAAGGTGAAAGTTAAGTCAAAAAGAGTGAGAAAACAGAGGAGTTGAAAAAACACAAAATAGCCTCTCTTATCTAAGTTGGCCTTATAAAATTGCTCTTATAAAATCCTCTCTTATAAGGTTGCCTCTCTTATCTATTAAAGAAACTTCAAAATTGTAGCGTCTTCAAATCTCTACTAGTAAAGACTATGAGCAAATTTCTGACTAGAATAAAGCCCCGAACAAGAATTGATCCTGAGACATTACGACAGTTTATTACTAGTCGTCTTCGCTCATCACTTATTTGAGGTGTGCAAGGATTACTCAAATAATGGGATATTTCAACGAGGGATAATACTTATATATTAGTAATATCCAAATCTCTTACTTATCCTAGCTTAAAATAAATTTCTCTAAAATTTCTTACTCATCTCAGCATTCAAAAAAAATCTTTTTTAAAGTGCTCTATGGGTCGCCCACCAACCAAATAGATGCGAAGAGGATTTGGAAATGCTTCCTTTTTGTCGACTTTCTTGTCGAATATGTGGAAATAATACTTTAGAATTTCCGGATATTGAAGAAAGTAAAAAATAAAATTAATTTTTATAAAATTAACTTTAAAATTAAAAAAAAGAATATGATCTAAGAAAAACCCCTCCATCTCTACACAAATTAGCCTTTTTAATTGGCCGTTGGAGAAGTGATTTTGGAGGAAAGGCTGATTTTCCAACTATTCCTAAATTTACTTATGGAGAAGAATTAGATTTTAGTTTGAGTACAGTAATGAAGATGCCTGTTTTGAATTATAGGTAAAAATTATTAGCAGAATTTGTTAAAGAATATTTTTTTGAGAATTATGAAGAGAAAAATCATTGTTTTAACTAGGAAAATTAAGTCTTTGTAGGGATTTTTTAAATTTATTTTTAGAAAGGAAAAATCAAAATTAGAAAATATAGAGTAAATATAAGACGTAAAAAAAAGATTTATGGACGTCCAGGCTTGTAGGATGGGTAGAAAGAAAAGCATATAGCTATTTAATTCTAAGGCTATGTAGGAGGCGAACGAATAACACATCATTCCGATTAATTGAAAATGATAGTTCGCTTCAGTTGTCTAAATAACTTTTTGCATTAGCTATAGTTCACCTTTATTCTTGGATGTGTAGGAATTAAATGTTGATTGAACATAAAAATAAAAATTTAAATTTTGTTAGGAATTAGATTAAAGAACTGAGAGAATTATTGAAAAATGTATTAAAAATACTTATCAAATTTTAAATTTAAAGTGCTTTTGCTTGGGATAATTCAGAACATAATTTAACTGAATTACACAGCGAAAATGGTTTTATTGCTGGATCACCCAATACTTCATTAATTTCAATGAATACAGTAATGAGTAATGGTTGGCATTTAAATTTAACAAAAAATCTTTTTTGAAAATTAAATTTTAAAAGGTTTTGTAACAATTGAAGAAGGCGAAGAAAAAGATAAAAGTATACGTTTTGAATTACAAAGGATTGGCCGTATTAAATTTTCTAGAGATTTGCCTGTTAGAAGGGTAGGTTTTTTAAAGTAAAATTTATATCTACAAAAGGTAAAACAAATGAGGTGGAGAGAGGGGTGCCCCCTACTCAAAAATTTATTTTTGATTTTCTCATGTTTGGATTATATTTTTCTAAAAGAAAAATACGCGAAACTACAAAGGAATTTCTCAAAATCCTTAATCTGGAGTAAAGACCAGACTCTAGTTATCAGCCGAGAATCTCAATCCGAATGATCGAATTTTTGATCGAGATCGTGTCTCGGTCTTAAGTATGGATATAGAGATCTCGATTCTCGTACGACATTCCCAGTCCGGTCTCTAATTAAATTAATTATCCCACTAGAAAATTTTCCACAAAAAACGAGACCCTACCACAAATTCAAGGACCCCTCCTAATTTTCACTAGATTTAAGTAAAAATATAATTAATCGAGAAAAGTATTTATTTAAATTATTTTTGAATATATAAAAATTAAAAAAACCTCACAGAAAGAAATTATTCACATTCAGCAATAGATCGATAAGTTAATTCTTTATGTGCAATCTTTTTGTTCTTTTCCAAAGACATTTTTGATTCAAAACCATTAGAACGATCAACACCATCCCATCTATAACCTGGTTTAATTTCATAACGATTTGGAGGGCATTGGCCTTTATATGTTGGATAAACTTAAAAAAGAGAAAATTAAGAAAAAATAAGTAATTGTGGGATGAGAAAGGATAGGAGTGTCAAAGACGGTGTTAGAAAAGGCTTACATTCGTAACTATAAAATTCTACAAAGGCCATATAATTTTAACTAGGCCATGTAATTTTTTGATTATTTTTCATGAATCTTCCCCAAAAAAATATTTTTATTAATTTAAGCCAACAATCAAAAGAATTAAAGATAGTAATTCTAAAAATCCTTGATTTTGGGTGAGGACCATGTCCAGGTTCTTGACCTTAAGTCAAGGAAAAATCAAGGAAAACTGAAAAATGCCTTGATCTTGACTTAGAATCCAAAAAAATGATATATCCAAGAAGAGGAAGGGCCTGCTAAACATAGAAAAAATAAAATTCAAAAATAAACCAATTCCTGTTCGCATTTGTATTTTATGATTCTTAACACGAAAATATTCTGCCATTGGATCTTCTGAATGTAATTGTGTCTTCAAATGTTCATTTAAAGCCTCATCGTCTTTATGCCTTGTAAATCCTTCCCCCAAAACTTGTTCCATTTCATCCAACTTTTCTTCTCGTTCTTTTATTTGAGCTATTCCTTTATTCCATAGAGAATATTTTTTCTCCATTTCTGCTTGTTTTGCAGCTTCTCGAGCTTCTCTAGCCTTCTTTTCTTCAGAGTTTTCTTCTTCTCTTCTGCCCCTTCTTCCTCTGTCAAAACCTGTCACTCGTTTGCGAGTTTCTGCATCACGGCCTTGTTCGTCTGCTTGGGCTTTTTCCTGAATTTTTTTACTTTTAATTAGAATTGAAGAAATTAAAACTAAAAACCCCCGAAATTTTATCATTTTGGGAAATATTTTGTCCGAAGAAAATCACAGTAGCAATGAAAAACCCCTCCACTAAAAAAGATAAAAATAATAATTTCCGAAACCTTTTGACCACGTTCACGCATTTTTTGAATTTCTTCTTTTGCAACTTCTTTGCTCAATAGTCCAGCTTTTCGGCCATCATCCATTTTTCTTCGCTTTTTTGAAGGTCCTTCTTGATCAATATTTTCTTCATCAATTTCTTCCTTAATATCTTTTTTTAAGATAGAGGCAGAATTTGGTGATTTTTCGTCATCTGGGTCGTCAGGTGGTCCTTAATTTAGTAATTAAAAATAAAAATCGTTATTGAGCATTCTATGGAATGTAGTAGCAAGATCAAGAGAACGAAAATTTTAAACTCTGGTTTAAACTAATTTGTAAAACAATTGAGCAGGATATCCAGAATATTCAAGGAAAAATATAGGCTAATGTAAATCTAAGGGAAAAGGGAGGACTAGGACCCTTAAAAAGGACAAGTGCCGAGTGCGAAAAAAGTTCGGCTATAGAAAAATCATCCATAGCCCGACTCACCCAAATGGATATATATGTTCAACTCCCAAACAAAAAATACTTAGTAAAAATCAAATGAGGAATAGGAAAATACCGAAAATAAAAAATTAAAAAAATTTGTAACCTTGAATGACAACAAATCCATCACTTTTAAAAACTGGCGCTTCAACTTCTTTTTTATTTTTACGTGCTTGTTCTGCTTTTCTATTCAATAAACGAATTGCTCTTTCAACATCATCCATTTCCTCATCATCCTCTTCCTCAAATTCATCATCTAATTTATTTCTGCTAGTCCCAGGTTTGCTTCGAATAAATGTGTCTTCATCAAGTAAACGCATTCCAACATTGGAATTTGTTGATTTTTTAGTTTTTGATTTGCTCTTTTTTGGTTTTTCTGATGAACTTGTTGTATATTTCTTTAAATATTCTGCACGCGAAACTGTTGTCATTTTCTTAAATAATCTTTAAAATCTAAAATTTTAGAAAAATTTTTAAAATCTAAAATTTTAGAAAAAAAATTAGAAAATAAAAAAATGGGTGCGGCCCACCTTGTCGCGGGCCACCTTGTCGCGACCACCTTGTCGCGACCACCTTGTCGCAGGCCCACCTTGTCGCAGGCCCAGCTTGACGCAGGCCACTTTGTCGCAGGCTTTCCTTTGGTTTTTATTTCAAGGCTGGCCTAAACTTCACTCGCCACGTGCCGTACTTCATCCCACGGCTACAACGATTGGAAATATGGAAGGTTTAGAATTTCTATTTTGTTTTCTAGGTTTTTTTTTAATTTTTTAGTTGATTTCCAGGAGTGTTTTTTTCCTTTTATTACTTTCTCTTATCCGGTTAAAGTCTACCGGAGTTTTAACAGAGTAAAACCGATCCAAATTACTCCAGAAAACCCCGATCGTGCCCAGAAGGCCTTTTTTCTACCCTCCATATCAGCATAAAAAATTTTCAACCTTTGCGACAAGGTGGGCCTGCGACAAGGTGGCCTGCGACAAGGTGGTCGCGACAAGGTGGTCGCGACAAGGTGGCCCGCGACAAGGAGGGCGTGTCGTGCCCGCTCAACTCATCTAATCCTTAACTCATCCACACGCCCAAAAACGCTCAACTCATCTAAAGGGCTAAAATTCCTTAACTCATCCACACGGCCAAAAACGCTCAACTCATCCAATCCTCAACTCATCTAATGCTTAACTCATCCACACGCCCAAAAACGCTCAACTCATCCAATCCTCAACTCATCTAATGCTTAACTCATCTACACGGCCAAAAACGCTCAACTCATCCAATCCTTTGGAACGAGACTATTGAGTACCAGTCGTTTGAGTCCCTGGCCGTTTGAGTCTCTGGCCGTTTGAGTCCATGACCAGTTGAGTCTCTAGCCGGTAAAGTCCCTGGTCAGTTAAGTCCCGGCCGTTTGAGTCCCTGGCCGTTTGAGTTCATGACCAGTTGAGTCCCTGGCCGTTTGAGTCTCTGGCCGTCTGATTCCATGACCAGTTGAGTCTCTAGCCGGTTAAGTCCCTGGTCAGTTAAGTCCCGGCCGTTTGAGTCCATGACCAGTTGAGTCTCTAGCCGGTTAAGTCCCTGGTCAGTTAAGTCCCGGCCGTTTGAGTGGTTGATTACCGCCGGTTGAGTCTTGGGCCGGTTGAGACTCAACTGACCAGGGACTCAACTGACCAGGGACTCAACCGGCTAGGGACTCAACCGGCCGATATTTCAAGGATTGGATGAGTTGAGCGTTTTTGGCCGTGTAGATGAGTTAAGCATTAGATGAGTTGAGGATTGGATGAGTTGAGCGTTTTTGGGCGTGTGAATGAGTTAAGCATTAGATGAGTTGAGGATTGGATGAGTTGAGCGTTTTTGGCCGTGTGGATGAGTTAAGTGTTAGATGAGTTAAGGATTGGATGAGTTGTAGGGTAGCCGGGCGTGTCCCTAAAAAAATTGTTGTGAAATACCCAAATAAAAATAGATAAAATGAATTTATAACGTGTGTCGATATTTTGAAATTATTCAAAGGAAAAACAATCAAATTGGTAACTAGCAATAAAAATCAAAAATGTAAATTTCACTTTATCTAAAATCTAGTTTCCGACAAAAGGGCACATGGGCAAAATAAGACAAAATGGCACACCAAAAATGGCCTACGCCATAATTCATTATGTAGTTTCGGCGCTTTTGGACGGTTTTGGGAAGGTCTGATTCGTCCTGCTCCGAGGTCTGGGGTTAGAATAAAAATGGGAATGATGGAAACTGATATCAATTAAATTATGAATTTAATTCTAGATGGTGCGCGAGTGGATTCTTCTAAACGAAAGTCATTTGGAATCACGATTGCATATGTCGACGCTTACTCACCGAATGCTTTTACATACACATATAATTTATGAAAAAGTATATCCACGTTAAAAAAATATAATTTTAGTTTATTTTGAATAAATATATGTACAAAAAATCAAAAATTGGTTGAAAAATTGAGTAAAGTAAACCATAAATTTTGAGAAATTCTCGAGAAAATCAAATTTAAAGAATTTATTTTCATTATAAATTTAATCGGCGAATCAAAAGACATGAAGCAACAATGGCGCCAACCCCACAAACTGCAGCTAGCCCATAAATTCTGTTATTTGACCGAGCAAGTGATTGTTGTTGTTTTTGTAAAACAATTTGATTAACAACTTTAGCAATGTCAGTACAGAAACTTTCCTAAAGAAAATAAAAACAATTAAAACTTGAAGCGCATTTTAATTGGGAAACTTTCAATGTTAAGTTTTAATAAACCTGAAACTTAACTTGTCTTGAAAAAAATTTAAAAAAAGTTGGTAAACTTAAAGTTGCAAACTCGAATTTCAAAGTTTAATCTAAAACTTGAAACAAGTTGGAAAGCAAGTTTTAAGCTTAAACTTAAGAATTAACTGAAAAAACCAACTAGAATTTTTCTTAAATCAAACTTGAAGCAAGTTTTAAATAAAAATGGTAACTTAAGTTTTAATAATTAAGAAGTTTGCAAACTTTAAGTTTACAAACTTAATTTTTAAAGTTTGAT